ATATTCGATAGGTTATCAATATATCGTGGATCGACTGATCCAATCTGACTAGCGATTGCAGGGGGTGTTAAAAACGGCGTTCCCACTGGTAATATGAAGCAGATGCATGGCCGAGCACCTTCAAGTAGGTGATTCCATTATAACTAATGTGGTCAGCATCTAATGTCGAAGAATGTGCAGCCGAGTTTAAGACTACTTGAGTTGCTTCGTGTTAGACCCAGAAATATCCTATTTTGAGATTTTTTTTCCCTGTCTCCAACCATATTGTCCGTCATTAGAAAGTTGAGCTTCAAATAAAAATATGTGAAGATAAAAAATTATTCACAAATGGTAGTAATAGATCGCATATTTGCCGTTTTGTCATTTTTGTAGTTGTACTTTAGATTGGATATTTGTGGGTAGCTATGATTGAGGATTGAATGATGTTAATTCAACCGTTAGGCGCTAGTTTCTTAACTTATCGAACCACGCCACTACCTTGACATGAATAACAGTAAAGGGTTCGTTGTGTATTGCTTCATTATGTTTTTATTGTAGAAGTTCAAAGGAAGGTAAGTGTTAAACATAAAACCTGTGGAAGTTGCCTCTATCAGGTGGTGAATTTTCAGACTCCGGAGAATTTCACGAATCAAAGTGTGAAAATCCTAAACTTAGTGCTTTGCATGAATACCATCAGTGAGTTCGGTTCGTGTTTATAATTATCAGTCTGCCTGGTCCGGTTAAACGACGAGTTCGGGCTCTTAAAAAATTGCAGTATGAGACCCTGAAGATCGACTCCGAGTTCTACAAAGAGCTTTTTGCACTGGAAGTTAAGTATGATGTACAGCACCAGCAAATATTCTCAAAAGTGCGTTCTCTTAGTTTCCCATATACGTTATAGAGGCGAGATATTGTATTGGGTGGTATAGAACCCACGGATGAGGACTGCGATTGGCCTACCGACGATGATGACATATCTCTAGACAATTTATCAGAAAGGTTGAAAAGCACAGCCAATGTCACTAAAGACACCAGTGAAAAAGGTAATAATGGCTATTTTTGGTAAATGTTTTTAGATTGCCAGAGTGACATTAAAGGTATCCCAGAGTTCTGGCTCAAAACTCTAGAGAACATTTCACTATTTGATGAAATGGTGCAAGATCATGATCGTGATATTTTAAAACATTTAATAGATATCAAATGTGTCCTCAATACTGGGGAGGAGTCAGTAAGTTTATCATAACTTTATAATGTCCCAGGGCTTCACACTAGAATTTTACTTTTCATCAAATAACTACTTCACTAACAGTGTATTAACTAAAAGGTATTATTTCAACTACGACATACCTAATGACGATCCTTTTGGATATGAAGGACCTGAAATTGTCCGCACCAAAGGGTAATTATCCTGAAATTTTACTATATAGAGTAGTTGTGTTATTAACTGGCATCCGGGAAAAAATGTTACTGTGAAACTGGTTAAAAAGGTTCAGAAACGAAAAAGTGGGGGTGCTAAACGAACTATTACAAAGAGTGTTCGGGAAGACTCCTTTTTCAATTTCTTCGAGCCTCCTGCAGAAAGTACGTCAATTTACACTTTTAACGCGTATTTTAGCTCTTTCCGATGACCTGGTGAGTTTATTATGGTCTAAGGTAATTTTTCCAGGATGAGGATACTGAGATGCTCTTGGAGTCCGACTTCAAGCTTGGTCAGTTTTTAAGAGAGAGCGTTATCCCGAGAGCTGTACTTTACTTCACTGGCGAGGCAGTAGATTCCGAAGTAATTCACTGTTAAATAAAATATTTCTTTAGTTTGATGATGATGATGACGACGAAGATGACGATCTAGATGATGAAGATTCAAGTGAAGATGATGACGAAGAAAAAGAGGAAGAAGTGGGTTCTTTTACTGTTTTCTATGAGATAATAAATCGTATTTCTTTGTCGTTAACATATCATTTTTGGTTTAGTTACTTTTACTGTAAGCAACTCACACTATATACCGGTGTAAATCATAAATTTGTCAAATGTAGTAACAATAGTATATATATATTATTTGAACACATGAATATTGGTACAAAGGGACACCAAATATATATGTGCCACACAAATCTTATTTGATTTGTGTGAGGGCTGTGATATTGCCCAGGTATTATATTTATATATATATTACTTCATCGTTTTCTTAGTTAACAATTCATGCAATAATAAGCTTGTTTAATTCTTTTGTCTTTCAGAATGAAAAGGAGAATTCTCACGTAAGCCTCCAATCTTACTTTATGTTGCCATTTTGATTTTAACTCAAAGTTTTTCACATAGTGTTCTATTAGTTAATTACTTCCCGACTGCGAAGTTTTTAAACATATGGGTTTCGATTACCAACAAATACTATTTAATCTACCTTAATCATCGTAATTTTTGTGGTAAACAGTTATTAATTCAAGTTGTCGAAGTTTGGGTCTACGCTGAAACATCAAATTAGGAAGTTTTAGTAAAAAAAGGTGATATGTTGGTGAATTGCCAAATATTCGTACAATCGGTTACTTATTGACACTTGTTTCTCAGGAATTATTTTTTTCTCCCAATTTACAAACGTCCCTGTTAAATATTCCTATTCATCACATAAATTCATGTCCATACACAGTTGTTACGGCTGCAAGCAAAACGTACCCTGTTTAAAAAAATCAAGCTTGCATTTTCTCAGTAAAATGCACAACATTTAATATTGCTTGATTGGGTTCATAATTTGTCCAGCAACCTTTTTGCCTAAAGTGATCAGCAGCTTAATGTTATTAACCATCTTTAACTACTATCACTAATGTAATCCTATCGGACAGTGACGCGGTCGTTTTGATGAAACAGGTCACGTTTACCTGTAATTTATTGGATATTTCCTTTAAACCTATATCGCTAATAGTTATTTTTAAGGGGAGAAATGATTATTCATATTGACTGTGTTACTAATAGTTTTAGAATTACCATTGGTAACACATTAGCTCTATTGAGTTCATGGCCATTTATGACTAACTAAAGAGTGATAGTCCATATATTGAGGTATTCTTAGTGCTGACATTCACAAATAAATAATATAGCAATTAACGCAAGTGCATAACCTTATTTCAACTTGAACAGTACTTTAATATTAATCAAAAGTTGGGTTTTTTAATATTCTTGTCTATCATTCCTTATCCTAAAAATTGACTGCTCTCTACCAAATTTTTTAGTCATGCCGTGGACGACATCATGCCCCCAACCGATCAAAACACAATCAAAAAACCGGAGAAAAACAAGAATGTCCACAACAATAGACCTATTGCTAATTTTGTCAATATGATTTGATGTATCCTTGTTTTAAAAGATTTATTGAACGTTCATGTTTTTCAATGACCTTTAAGCCACCTTGATTGCAAATTTACAGAATAAACTATGAAGAAGCAAAAACTTGAAAAGCTTACTTTTGTGCCTGAGACAAGTTGTTCGCTGACTTATAAGCTTTTCTGACTTATATTAATCAATCGACGGCTAAGAATTTAAAGCAATTATTGGGTGGCACTGCTTGGGAAATCCTGCTCACTATCTTCTCGCGTCATTACTGTTGTTTGCGAACTTAAGAGGACGAAAAGCGAATGTCCGGCGATTTAACCGAATTGATGAACACAGAGGGTTCACACAGTGGAGTTGGAAAGTCCTAATTCCAAACCAACGGTGCACACGTGCTCCAGGGTCCTGAAGAAAATAATGGCATGCGAACCTATTGTTTGTCACCAGCCACCATGAGACCGCATCTCCTTATGTTGCCCCACTTCCATGTAGATTGGACCTTTAGGTCAAACACTCAGGATGTGATCAATAAGAAAACCACGTGCTTCAGTTTGGGGACCCGGGAAGTATCCCAACCCTCATACAAGTCGTGTGATCTATTTGGTGCCTCTAACCAATCTTTATATGTTTAAATAATAAAAGATCGCTTGTCAGGACCTAACCCATCACTAATCTTCATACAGAATCTTAGGATTATAGACCCTGATAGGAAGTTACACATTAATGTCCAGTTTCAAGTTAGGCGAATAAGTCACGATCATGTCAGTCTTTTCCTATTAAATTCATCGGTGGAAAAGTCCAAGAAATGCATCACCATAGGTTTATAAAAAGTTGGCACTGAGAATCTTATAGTGATTAGATGGATTTTTGCAGTCGTGTTTGGTCGAATCAGAATACGCACAATTTCTGAGTCACATAACGGTCGTACCTACTTCAACAGTATGTGCATAGTCTTCATAGAGCGCATTTATTTGTGGATTACATAATCAACAAATGGATGGTCTTGTGTTATATACATTAAGTCCAAACAAAATAATTCGAGATAGTTGAATATACGGTTTAAGGTGCTAAAATCCTCCAAAAGCGAGATGATAACACTTAGTGGCTTGACGTCTAATTTTGTCAACCGCAGTTTATCTTACACTCACATTTCGTTACTTCATATTCAACGTAACAAGTTGAGAGGATAATTCGCTATTAGGGGAAGTGCGTTGATGTTTTTAAAGAAAGCTGTGACTCGTACTAATTGAACATCGTTATTCACGTATTTGTACAGATTAACATAATACTGAATATTGTATGCGTAAGTTAGAGCACACGCGTTTAAGAATGCTTCATGGACGTGACGTGATAATCTGAGATAATAAATGGTGAATATTGAGTCATATCCGAGCATGACCTCGTGGCAGCTTGTTGTTTACAAAATTGAAAGGACGAAACGCCAATGTACAGCACTTTAACCGGGTTGGTGGACACGGAAAGTCCACCTAGGGGAGTTGGAAAACCCTGATTCGAAACTAATGGTGCACATGAGCTCCAGTATCCTGAGGTAACAAATGGTGTATGAACCAATTGTTGGTCACCGGTTACCACCTGCTTTTGTCTGGGCACCCGGGCAGTATCATAGCCCTCACACAACTAAATGAAATGACAATTTTACGTGTGGCGCATATTTATCTGATACCCCTTTGTATCAATATTTATGTGTTCAAATAAATAAATAGTGACCTCGATACATTGGACTCTTAGTGATATCAATAGCTTTCTTGAAGCAACTGGCTTTCGTTAAAAGGCTGCGAACAAGGGTTTTTAATACACTGACCGCCAGAATTCCGTGTGTTCTCAGTCCGCAACTTCCAACCTGAGATGACAACTATGTTCCATTTACATGGTTGGACAAAAGTACTACTACAATTTACTTAGTAAGATTTTACGGCATTTTGATACAATATCCTTTTTATGTGTACGAGCTAATGTCACGCTTGGAAAAGTGAAAGTAGGTGATCATTGGCACTAAATCTATCGAAATAAGATTTCTGAGACAAAGTAACAAATGAAGCTTGTGCATTTATGAATACAGTTACATTTGAGTTTTTCTACACAAATATGTGTAACTATGCATGCATTACAAAACCTTATTAACGGTTGGTCTTGCTGAAGAAACCCATGATATTTGTTAATACAAACTATTTGATTAATGTATAAAGAAATTTACTGTACAGATAATCTAGAGAAAAAGTACACTTGGATATGTAAGTATGAAAGGTTTCAATATATGATAATTGTTTTCATGTAAGTGAAGAAAACCATGAACCAACATTCCAAAGAAGGTATTACAATGATTTTTATGCAAAAAATCCGATCAGTGATAGTAAGATGAGTACTCATAGTTACTATGTTTGTTAGATGACGGAAGGTAATGGTTTCGGAGACATTTTAGCTTCATATTGTTGTATTTCATTAATATAATCAGTATAATCGTCAGGAATATCTTTCATGAAATCCGAATGATAATTGATATTGGGGAACCACTCCGGTAACATGTATGGTTTCAACCAGCTAACAAGAGGAGTTGCTCCAGGCTCGTAATTAACATCTTTGTGGTAAAATAGAACACCATCAATCTGTGAACAAACAATAGGTAAACATTAAATTCAAATGTAAATATCATTACCAAGGTTTGAGTTGATATTTTCAAATAAATTGAACATTGGGTAGATTGTTATAAATAAGGAAAATATATTTGTAATATCCCAAAAAATTAGATTTTCTGACGTTTCGTGACTCAGTTTAGGCCACTTCTTCAGAGAATAAATAACGAAATCAAAATTAATCCACGTCCAAATAGTACAACACGAATATTATGTGATCAATCAAAAAACAGGTCTGAATAAATCAATTTCATATTATTTCAGTCAAGGTGATTGATAAGCGACATGCATGTAAATTTGTGTGCAATGTCAGGGATGAAAAATGTGTGACCTTTATGATGAGAAAGGTTAGAGTTTAATTTGTAAAATGATAGTGTGAATAATATCATACAACGTGGTTAGGATAGATAGTCCAAATACGATGAATGGTAAGGCCTTTTCTATTGAGAGCAGTAAGATTACGTATTGTGTGGAACGCTTCAGCTACTCTCCCTTCTTTGTAATCGGAAAAACCTTTTTGTAATATATTTGGAATCGATTTAGTGGTCGTTGAAGATAGCATAAGCTGCAATTGCCGATTTAATTTGAAGTCTATTAAGTTCTACGGGATTATGAGGTAGTTTCTTTGTGTACCTAATATGTTCTTTGGCTCGAGTCAAGATTTCGCGAGATGACTCGCTGATATAGAAGACATCATAATCGAAACAACTTAATTTGTAGACATAGTTCTGTGTTGACATGGAGGGAATTTTTTCTTTTAATCTAACTAATGTATTTCGAAGTGTGTTCGTTGTTTTGTAATATACTTTAATTTTGTGTTGTTTTAAGGTTCTTTGGAGTTTTTCTGTTGTGCTATGACGATAAGGCAAAACTGCAGTACCAATCCATGGTATTTCATTCGAATTATTATTATTACGGAATACAATGTGAATAAAATATAGGAGATAGTATCGATTATCAGTTCGAATAAAAATTATAGTTGGAAGCTGAAATCCGATTTATTTATACTTATTGTAACTTAAGAAATGTTTATTTACACCTTATTATCGTATTATTTGCAATAACGAATACTTTAATTTGAACTTCTACGATAATCGCATATTCATAAACAGAACGAGAACATGAAGCATAACCGAATTGTGCCAGAATACTTAGTCGGTAATCTACATCATATGATATGGCGGCCTGCTTAGACATCTGGGTTGCCTGTTCCTGCTATCTAGATATTTCAACAACTTAGCTAGTTTTGTTTGTTTTAATACATCATTATGGTTATTAATTGCACAACCTATTGAGGTACGTTTCTTAAAAGTGTACAACCTTTCGTTACAAAAGGTCCAATCAAAGATATCGTGGTTGCTGGCAATATACAGAGAAAAGAATGTACATTATTGAGATGTTGATTTATTGGACTGCTAAATTCTAATTGGTGATCACTCAATATTTATCGTCAGGATCGACCAAGAAGTGAGAAACAGAAACTTGTTGAAATACTTTGTGCTGAGAAATCTATATTGTACTAAAAATATAATATCGAATAAAGCTAATAATAACAATACATAAACAAGTAGGTAGTTATATGTACACAATAATGCATTTGTATGGACTTGGTGACAGTTAACCAATCAAATCAGGATGACTGATTTAACCGTCAGATATGTATTTGATATTTTAAGAGCCCCAAAGCTGTACAAGTTCGTCGTATTAAGTGGTAGTAATATTATTTGATGTTCTAGACTGAATTAGATGAAATGAAGTCTGAACTTGCGATCTAATAACCAAAAGTCAAGTCCTCTGACCAATAATTTATCACTCCATTTTCATGTCATTCAAGAATTTAGGTATTGACAATGATTTTTAAATGTAAAAAATAACTAAGTGCAGATCCAATTCTAATTGCTGGCATTTGGCTTAGAAGAATGGACAAAGTATAACTAAATGAAACCAACCCGCGTGTTGTAAATCCGATATTAGTTAATGTGATTGAAAAACGGGTCTATTAGTGGGAAATACTTCTGATATTGAATATATACGTAACTGAATGAAAAAGGACCAAGCCTGTAGTTTTATTCAGTACAATGAGCGTTTAATTCCCAATAGAATACGCTTCACGTATAAAATTAAGCGTAATACACGAGATATTGTCGAAAGTGTAAAACCTACGATTAAGAGACTGATATCTTTAGTAGAGTGATTGAAAACGGAAGATATTTGAGGGAAATAAACAAACGTATCGAAACAAATGTACGACAGAAACAGTAGACTGTTAGGAAGGGAAAACAGGAAACTTGAGTAATGTATTCTTTTGTTGTTCAATTTGAAGTCTTTTAAAGAGTATGTAACACGTTGGTTCATTGAGTTTTCATTTAATACAAATTATACGCCTTTTGTAGGATCGCCGAAAAACGAGATTTTTGTCTTGATTTGCGTGTCCAGGAGAAAACAATTATCGTGTCCGTCTTACTGGTTGCTTCGTTTAATTTTTTATAGGATTAATTACCTTCGTCCGACTAATCACTCAATGATTGAGAGATAATGGTTGACGTCGGCGCTTAACGCCTATTGATGCAGCTTCTCTCTATCCTATTAGTCAATTAGAAAACGGGAGTAACACGGAGATAAGACTTCTGAAGTAGAGTTTTAGCCCTATCCAACATGACTCAGAAACTCATATTAATATTGTTGATGTCAACATTTCAAACAAGTGGCGAGGTTTCACATCGAAAAATTGATTAGCTACAACCAGTACATTTTCACATAATACAAAGAAAACCGCATGCACAGTTATTAGTTTAATAGATGTATACAGTTTTTTACTATTTAAAAACTGGTTTTAGTGTAAGCGTCAGAAAGCAACACGATAATGTAATCAGTTTAGTTAAGACTATCGATTATGCAGATGTACACTTCTCTTTGATGTTTTAAGTAGACTAATGGAGTATAGACGTATCACGTACCTGTGCCCACATGCCATCCAAAGTTCAAACGGTATGGAGGAAAATATGAGCAGGTCACGCCTTTAAAGGATGTCTATTATATAACTACTTAAATTATCAGCCTCGTCTGAGTCAGGTAGACAAACATTATTTATGGTTTGTGTAGATTATAATTGGGATTAGTAATTAAACATATTTGTATAATAGGTTTTGTATACCGCAGAAAATATATATCACAACTGAATCCCATTGCAGAACACAAGTCTTCTACAGCTATTGCACAATATTTGAATAAAATAGAAGGAACTCCACTGAAGTGAATTGGTTTATTGAATTGAATCTTACTATTCATTGGGTTATATTCTAGGAGTTATATATTATATTTATATGGACCAGAATTTAAAATGAGCAGTGTGTACATATTAATGAAAATGTTTATTTATAAATTAAATGCCTTTGTTGGTAAGAAAAGAAACCACCAGAGAACTGATGTGACAACTATCGGAGGATTCATCATTTACTTTGTATACTATCTATGAATTGGATAATTTTGTTATTTTAGATATACATGTTTATTTATCAGCTGATCTCGTTTGTATATTAAGTCTCCATAAAGTAATATAAAATAATGCTTTATAAACAGAAAAGGATGGTGGCTAGTAATGGAGTCCAAGACGCGCGTTTCGTCCTATTTAGGACTCCATCTCCGCTTAAGGCAATATCGAGGCAATCTGTACAGAATGCAACATATGCCATTGACAGACTGATAAATTGCAATCATAAACATCAAAGGGAAAATTCGAACAACCAATACAAAAATGAACTAATGGTGCTTTATTTTATCAGATTCTATGTTACTTCTGTCAGTTTAAAAATACATAAACCAAGGAATACAAGATAAATAATGTCTCTGAAACTTTAAGGTCATCGAAAAGCAACATTACTTTATCATCATTACAATTTTACTATAAAATGTACAGTATATGAAAATAAGCTATTTTATCGTCACTAATCTTTAACATTCATTTGTTTCTATTAGAATTAATAATTTTTATCAGAAGGGGTTTTTGTGGAGATTTTAGTATTTTCATAGTTGAAAGCGTGGTCTATCGGTTAAGTGCTCTGGCGCGAGACTGGTAGGTCCTGAGTTCGAATCTCGCGAGGCGAGGTCGTGGATGAGCACTGCTGAGGAGTCCCACAATAGGACGAAACGGCCGTCCAGTGCTTCCAGGTTTTCCCTGGTGGTCTAGCTTCAATTGACTGACGCTTTCAACTATTAATAATTTTTCTTTTAGAAAAAAATGCAAATGACAAGCGTTCTCATTCAAATGTATTATTTTTGTAAACTTTGTTTGTATTGGTTGTTTGAATATTTCCATTGATGTTTAGGACTGTAACTGATCAGTCAGTGTTGAGTTCGAGTCGCTGGAAAGACATCAACTTTGGGATCCAGGTACACCCGGCTGGGAAGTCCCAAATAAAATAAAACGTGCGTCCTGGATTCTACTGCCAGCCAACTATTCACCTCTGCTTATTTTTGTAAAAGTTATAAGCACTATATATATATATATATATATATATATATATATATATATATATATATATGCTAAGATACTTAGAATTTTATAGCTGTACACTATTATAACTAAGTAACAATTAATTGAATGTTTGAGCTACCTTGTATGGTGGGATTGACGAGAATGCATCTTGCATTGATCCTACATCACATTGATATGACGGCAGAATATGGAAAGCAACCTGTTTTTAAAGAAAGAAAAAACATTTTATAGTTTTGATAATGACATGGATATATTTTGCTTAATGAACGTTTTCACAGTATGTTAAAAATTCTCAAATTTTAATCTTAAACGACATTTTTCACTGTTGTATATACATGAATTAATTAGACAATTTTTTAAAAATGAAACACGAAGAAAAAAGACATTTTTAGAGTTGAAGAAAGTTTCGTGTTTATTTGAAGGCGAACCATGTATGAAACTCACAAGCATGGTAGGAAAAGATGGATAGTGGCTAGCTATACACATAAATATTGGTACAAGGAGGCACCAGATACATATGCGCCACACAAATCAAATGAGATTTGTGTGAGGGCTGTGATACTGCCCAGGTGCCCAAACCGAAGCAGGTGGTTTTCTTAGGGGGCCACACACGGAGCCTTTGACCTAAAGGTCTGATCCACAAGGCAGTGGAGCATCGTGAGGAGATACAGTCCTATGGTAGCCGATGACTGACGATTGGTTCACATGCTATTTCCCCCTTCATGATACTGGAACCCATGTGCACCATTGGTTTGGAATCGGGGTTTTTCAACTCCCCTAGGTGGACTTTCCGTGTCCACCAACCCGGTTAAAGCGCCGAACATTCGCTTTTCGTCATCAATTTCGTAAACAACAGTAATGCCACGAGAAGGCAGTGAGTAGGACTTCCCTGACAGAGGCTCTATATTCGCGTGGCCATGTGAGAGCATTTGGAGAGGGAGAGTGGACTCTCCCCACTCTCGGCCATACCAGGGCATTTGGGGGGCAAGCGGCTTGCGTGGGCCGGGAATCGAACCCAGACCGCCCACGTGGCAGGCGAGCATTCTACCATTGAACCACCGACGAAAAAAGATAATTATTAATACTTGTAAAAAAAATATGATATTTATATGTGTCATTATTATTAAAAATTTAGTTCGATATATTGTACACGGGGTATGACTATGGTCTATAAATTCACTTACGGGATCACTTTCATCATACTCTTCTATTTGTTGCTTGAGATAATTTTCTAACCATTGGGATCGTTCATAAAACTTGAAGAATAAAAATAGAGTACCAGTTAGTACATATACGATATGGTAAATAAATACTAGATACTTAATCTAAAAATTTTTTGCTCGAACATATCAGTTTAATTACAAAGACACGGGCTACATAGATTATGATAAGAGTCCTTACCTATCTATTCTATTAGCTGATAAAGTAAGCCGAAATGACAAGCTTAATTTAACAGTTTTATAAATTAGGATTGATCAATAAGACAGCTAAACTCGAATTTTTAATCAGGCAAAAGGTTTTTTGAAGATTTTTTAACGCATAGTTTAATCACAGAGTGATTTCAACTGGACAACTATTAGAAACCAAACACTGTATGTTTATTATTCGTACAAAATAATTCATTTATTACTGAGATTATGTATGCAAAGACTTTATTTAAGAAACAAATAATCTAGATAGCTCAGCGTAATTCATAACCCATATTTGATTAGCACTAACTTTAATCAGTCATAATCAACGTAAAGCCTGGAACAAATATACGCTGACATAAATTTCCATGCCATGCTCTAGTATGTACATACCAGCAAGTGGAAAATCTTTTGTACATTAGCAGATTTCTTGGGGTTTGAAATGAAGTAATGAGTATTGGAATAAATTATGAAAACTAAAATATTAACAAATCTAGAAATGACTAAGAACATTTGAATAGAAAGCATTAGCTTAGGTATGTTGTTTTTTTTCTTTCTGAGGAAAAGACAAAAAACAATCATAATATAAAGTATACTGTTGTATCATTTTAATGAAATTCATCAACAGACTTACAGGTAGATCGACATAACATGTAGATCTCATAAAAATGATGTCAACTACGTAGAAGACAAAAGTCATTTGCTTTGTTCCATTTGCCATTTGGAAATTACTGAAATCAATGTTCTTTTCTGGACAGTATAATATGCAATCTAATAAAGTTGTATATGAATTGTTCTGATTATCACTTTGGCCTAAACCACCTCCTGGAAGCCGTGAAACAGAGGATATCAGTTGACGTCCAGTTCTAGTGCATGCTATAGTCTTTCCCTTTAAGAGAATTTAAAATTTTTTTCTATTAATCAATGTAAAAATTATATATATATATATATATATATATATATATATATATCCCAGTGAATGAAAGTACGAGCAACTTCCGGGACCTATTAATGGACTATTATTTTATATCTATTCTTATTGTTTAACTATTGAGTAATTAGATTGGTTATATCTATATTCATCTTATTATAAGCTTTATTTTGACATATGGATTATTATTATACGATTTACTGTCCCTAAATTATATTCAGTTTATTGATTATTGTAAGAATGTTCCGTGCAGGGTTGTTGGGGCACGCTGGCTGGATATTTCTTAGCCAATTAGTGCTAGTGGATACTTGGAGAAGACTCTAGAATCTCCTTATGTAGGAATCACAAATATGCAAACGCTTTTTGTGATTCCTACTTCATTCAACCTTGTTATTTGGAAGATAATTACGTTTCTGTTCAACAATGTTCTGATTTTATGACTGGTCGAGTGAAGTAGTGTCCAAGAATACTGAGCAATAAGAGTAGCTAGGTTGTAAAATACACAACGCGAGTGGAAAACGAGCGGTTAGAAGCTATCGATTTTGTAGTTCACTCAGACGTCAATGGAATTAGGATCTGACCATTAGGGTTGATTTTTGCCCGACATACCAATTCGATGACATGTATTCGTGGTTCGTTAACAAGAAATATGCTAAGATAATAAGGTTATCAGTGGTAAAGGACCTAAAGACCAAAACAATTAATGGCTATTCCAGAGACAACTAAAAATTAAAACAGTGCACAAGCAATGCTAGGGCCTGGGTAAGCCTATTCAAGCATAATGAAGAGTATAGTTCAATCGCAAATACAATCCTGAGGCACATGCCTCGGGGGTATAGATATGTATTACGCATTTCATACTAGTACGTACCATATTAAACATTATTTAATGACCCTAGGACTAGGGGAAAACAGTTAGTTTGTGACATGGTACCATGGAACGGGGGATAATTGTGTTGGGTGGGCATCTAGTGCTTTGTTATGACACCTAAAATGTTGTTCTGGAAGTCATGAAACCCAAGATTTATCAGACATGGGCCGGAATTTAAGGTGGTGATGATTTTCTGAGATTTTTGTTGTGTTTTTTCAAAAGACATTTTGGAAGGAATAAAATGTTCTGGTTGAGTGCCTATTAGGAATGTTTTTCCTTAGCATGTGTCATGGGATGTTTGCTTTTTTTACAATGTTATCAGTTTGTTGTGTGTAGTGCTCTTCTACCCATCATATTCTCTAATAATAAGCAGTGACATCGAGAAAAAACGACCCCAAAACATACCAAATATGTCGATAGTACTCAGTGAGTCTGCTTTTAACTAAGTCGTAGTTAGTGCCACAAAAAAATGAAATAGTTTTATATGTTTAATTTAAAACAACAAACTATACAATACAAATTAGTCGTGAGTTGGAACTAAATAATCATTAACACAGAAAGAAAAAACCAGCGGTGTCCAGTTTCGGTTGATTGAAGGCCAAGTGCTTTAACCACTAAGACACAGCTCCACCAGTTAAAACTTAACTTTTGACATCCAGATAGATGAGAAATATTCATCACCAATGTAAAATCAGTTTCAACAAGCTATGATTTATCAAGTAATCGTGAAAACTACTTGCATAGAAAAGTGCATACCAAAATATCTCTTGATAAAAGGATTCTTTCTTTAGGAGATTTAATGGTGTTTCAAGCAAACGTATCCAAAAATTAGTAATTTAAATCATGTTTATTAACGTTAATTCCTTACTTTTGAAGCCCTGATAAATACATGGCGCCCTTTAGGACAAAGTTTCATCCGATATTCCTCATAAAAATTTGGAGGCATAAATAGAAACCACTCTGCTAGCATTAAAAGTTTCGAGTGACGACGCCAACTTTTTATTTCCGACTTTATTTGAGTTGATGCCCATGGGTGTTTTGAGAGTTCTTCTTTATTGACAGAGAGGCGATTATGATCGAAATGATCTGATCGTTCCTTTTTGGATTTAAGTATGCTGAGTTTCTGACGCCAACGTTTTTCCTGATCGGCAGCTCGACCTTTGTTTTTATATAATGAAAGGCGTGGGTGTTTTTCTGATTCAGCGACGGTTTCAAAATTTTCTTCGTCAATATCCAAAGTTGAATCCCAATGTTGGCACAAGGAATCAAGTTCCATTTCTCTATTATTTAACTTAGATTATTGAGAGATAATTCAAAGCACTGAAATAAAAAAATTCATTAGATTACTATCTAGTATGTACCTTGTGACTGCAATAATTATAGTGGATTTTAACCTAAAACCTATAATAAAAAGAATTAAAATAATTATGCGCCGATTTAAGTTGTCTCACTTTATATCGGCACAGTTAATGTTGAGCCATGTGTCCAGCTCTTCTCAAGTATTGGAATATTCCATCTACGTTATGGATAGAGAACTTTCACATGAGCTTCTTATACCCCTTTATTGGGGTTTCGTAATCCATTAAATCACTAGTGCTAAAGTGACTCATTCTTAAGCGAAACTGTTAAGGCGTTTATAAAGTTCACCCTCCTTACTATTGAACTAAGTATACAAAAAAAACTAGTCCTGAAGCGTAGTTGTGGTTAATGCTTAAAACTGTTGGCTTTTGACTATAGAGCTGTAAGCTTAAGGTTCGTCCCATTTACTCCAGTTTGGTCATCTAAATAACACAATTTCTAACCACAATTATGATTTAAAGTTGAGTACATGAAACAGTACTTGTAAACTAGTTGTACTAACTATCATGAATGTAAAGTTCCTGAAATAAAGGGATTTAAGTAGCCAGAAAAGCATCTAGATCATATTCAAGGAAAGAAAATTCTGAATTATCATTCTGCATTTAACAGCATTATTTCGCACTCAAGGAAATGATTATATGAACATTACAGCTAATTCTGATGCACCAGTTCCCAACATTTATACCAGTAGGGATTCGCCTAATATCTTTTGTTCGAAGTAAGCCGTGAAAACAAATCGTTTTATTAGTGGTCCGATTGACAGTAGGTTGTAAAAATATTTGGGAAGACAAGAATCTATGAATACGTGGTCTCTAGATCACGGTCATACGGAATTAATTTTCCACACCGACTGCTGGTGTTTAGTGGAAAGATTGAGTGGTAAGTCGATCGTAAAACATCATCAAACCAAGTGGATATATATATATATATATATATATATATATATATATATAACGTATGCCTAACCACAGCGTACTTTCATGGGCTGTTTGCTGGAACAGGAGTTTTATTTATTTCAACACATAAATATTGATACAAAGGGGCACCAGATATATATGAGCAACACACAAAACTGTCATTTCACTTAGTTGTGTGGGGGCTATGATACTGCCTGGCTGCCCAGACAGAAGCAAATGGTTTTCTTAGGGGGGCACATCTAGAGCCCTTGACCTGATCCACAAGGCAGTGGGGCATCGTAAGGAGATGCAGTTCCATGGTAGCCGGTGACTGACGATTGGTTTATACGCCATTTGTTCCTTCAGGATACTGGAGCTTGTGTGCACCATTGGTTTGGAATCAGGGTTTTCCAAGTCCCCTAGGTGGACTTTCCGTTTCCACCAACCTGGTTAAAGCGCTATACATTAGCTCTTCGTCCTTTCAATTTTGTGAACAACACTCTCGCCACGAGAAGGCAGTGAGTAGGACTTCCCTGGCAGAGCTCTATACGCGTAGCTGTGTGAGAGCGTTTCGAGAGGGCGGGGCCTCCCCACTCTCGTCCGTACCAGGACATTAGGGGTTTGAAACAGGATTAGGTTCAAAGGAAGCTAAGGGTAACCCAATCAATACACGGAAATCAGTTCATAAAGTTACTAACTATTGGTGTGATTCATTTCGATTGATGCAGACTACCTGATTATTGTCCACACAATAAACCCGTTCAGTGGCTAGAGACCTCGGGTTACATGGCTGTTTTTCACAATAATGTAGTGCATTCACTTTTTATTTTCCTATCGATGTAGAGTTCCAGTATTCTTCCGAATATACCTTCGCACGGTCTTTTCAAAATATATTCCTAATGTTCATTTGCTCTTATTAGCATTGCTACTATATTATTTGGATTCCGCTATTTATCTCGATGTGCTAATATGTTGTGGCAACATTTAATTTTGTAAAGCTCTACGTTGGTGACAGCTTATTGGCTGACAAACCGGTTAGCACCGTCGTTTATGCATCACGGTCATAACACGTTAATTACAAATAGATATTCTATTAACAACAAAGGATGCTTACTATAAGTATCATAATGAGAGCTTACAATGAGAATACACTAACCGAATAGTCCAAGAGTTGGGTTTTTATGAAAAACTATATCATGTGATTGCAAAGAGCAAATGACACTGAATGATTATACAGAGATGTACGGTGGATCATATACCAATTAATTATATAAAAGAATGTATGTACTTGTACATACTTTCACACTCCCGAAACCACTTTCAAAAGTATAGCCAATTTTAAGTCGGTCAGAAAGTGTGTTAAGAACGATACATAATACGACGAGAAAAAGTAGAAGGTAGATTTTTTATGGGACCAATAAACTCCGCATTCAATCAGTCAGTCAGCTACAACGTAGGACCAGGAACATACATGCATTGGTCTAAGTTGCCACCTAATTAGCACAAGATGAACACCAAATTCATAGTAGTTACTTCGATGATAGTAATATACAAAAGATTGCATGTAAGGATATAATACAGGAAGAAAGAATCTTGGTAGGAAGAAAGGTATAAATCAATTTTAATCTCAAGGTTTAAGGGAAGGCAAAAAGTGTGTACACCGACGATATTGTGGTCGATTCTGAGCCATGTCACGCAGTCTCCAACCATTGGATACGATAGTCACGCAATCCCTAACCAAGTAGCCTGCATTTACCAACATGGCTCAGACTAGAAGTTAGTGACTTCAAGCACCGATGCCATAAATCTGTTCTGATAAACTTGAATTGCCATGAAGAATTGCATAAGGATACTAACCTGCTACACGCCTCTTTATATTCGTTCACTGTCATATACTCTTTACAGTCATACGGTCTTGACTACCGGATTGTCTTAGTTTTGTGCTTGTTCCATTACTAACTACTGTTGATTAATTTTATGGTTAAATATCATGGTAGGACAGTAAAGTTTGCCCAACTATCACATATTTGCCTAAAAACCAAGCCTATAACACTAGAAGCACTCAAAAAAGCCGAATATTTGGTAATATGCAGTGTGTCATATACTACCTTGAGTAATTATATATGTACAAAATACAAGATCGAGAACTCACCATTGCATATGCAATCAGATTATATAGTCTGATGGTACATGTTGCTAACTGCTTTTTATAAATGTAAAGTCCGGCCTTTAGTAGGTTTGAGTCTAGCATGAAAGGTACGTTGTGAAGTATGAATGGCAGTGTGTGGGACAATCTGGAAGAGAACAGGAGGAAGTGAGCCGACTGTAAAGTAAGCACATAGAATCCCCTTACATTTGGTAAAACAACAGATAACAATCAAAGGAAAGACAAGGACAAGATTAAGGGAGTTCAACAATCGAAAATAAGAGTTAATGTCGCGCACTACCGAATGTGACACAACCTGTTGGCCAATGGAGAGACCATTTTTCTGATAGCCGCCTTCAAAGCTCAATAAACAATATCTTTATGACGAGCTTCATGGTTGTGGACGGAATGGAAGAAGCTTTCGCTTAACAGGCTTCATGTCTAGTAGCAGTGGATCACCAATACCTCCAGGCATGAACCTAGGTATATTATCGATAAAAGAGGAAGCAGAAAAAAAGTTAGTAGATCATAGTAAGGATATTATCCTTAGTCCTTAAGAATATGTCAAATTTTCTCTTAAATGATTCCTGGGAAGTCGCCTGGACTAGCTCAGTTGGCAAAGAATTCCGGCATTTAACTATTTTTAAGGAGCAGAAGCTGCATCTACAGTCCGTTCTGCTCAAATGGTTTGTAGCTGTAAATAATTCCCCAAAATCAATAGCTCATTAAGTGTTCGACATTGGATGCTGACCACGTTGTTTAAGTGGACTTGTTTAGCTGAAGGCTTTCGGTCATGCATCCGCACCAGATCACGTTTCAATACTGCGTGGGACACAGCTCCTACGTTTCAATAGCCAGCTCATAGAAAAGGTCCTCGATATATTGGTAACGAATCAAATATATCTTTCCTGCCTCCTCTCGTCTGACTTCTGATTTCTATCTGACTGGGAACGACCGAACATAGAAGGTGCTACTGGTATCTAGTTGTAAAACTAGAATATCCGTTGTATCATCAGGTTCAAATGGTTGAGGACGGAATAGAAGAAGCTTTCGCTTAACGGGCTTCCGTGTCTGGTAGCAGTGGATCACCAATACCTCCAGGCAAAAACCTAGGTATATGAACGATAATAGAGGGGAAAAAAGAATTTAAAAAATCATAATAATATGTTATCCTTAGTCCTTAAGAATAAGTCAAGTTTCCTCTTAAAGGACTCCTGGGAAGTCGCTTGGACTAGCTCAGTCGGCAGCGAATTCCAGCACTTGACAACTCGAATGGAGTAGAAGTTGTGTCTGCAGTCTGTTCTGCTATGTAGGGCCTCCAATTTCTGGGTGTTACCTCTGAGGTTAGTGTTATGACTAAGCTTAAGAAGATATCTAAGGGGATGACCAGAAGTACTAAGGATACTATAAGTCATAAGAAGATCACCTCTAAGACGCCTGTACTCTAACGGGTAAAGGTTAAGTGATTTGAGGCGCTCTTCATAAGGTTTGAATTTGAGACCCCGAACTGATTTCGTGGCTCGACGTTGTATATGTTCCAGAGTGACCTTATCCTTTTGGAGGGAGGGAGGAAATACTATGTTTCCGTACTCTAAGTGGGGACGAATAAAACTGTTGAAGATTATATGGAAGGTTCTACCGTCAAACTGGCCAAAAATGCGCTTCAATGTTACCAGTGCAAGGTTTGCTTGAGAGGCGTTTTTGTCACAGTTCGCATACGATTTCAGGTCGTAGGGTACCAACACTCCTAAATCTTTTTCAACTTGGGAAACTTCTAGAGGTGAGTTACCTAAGTTATAACTATAGTCTGCAACATGTCTCAGATGGACTACCTTGCACTTTGATGTGTTGAAGGTAAGTCCGTTGTCGTCTGCCCAACTTTGAAGTCGAGTCAGATCCTCCTGCAGAACTAGTATATCATTGTGCGTACGTATCTCCCTCCAAAGTTTCACATCATCAGCAAAAAGCAATAAGTCAGATGAGACTTGTTGAGGAAGATCATTAATATAAATCAAGAAGAGAAGAGGTCCTAGTATTGAGCCCTGAGGGACCCCACTAGGACATTCCATAGCCTGAGAGAGAGTGAAGTTAACCCTGACCTTAAAATGTCGGTTTTCTAGGTATGAAGTGATCCAATCAATTAAAGGGGGTTTTATACCCAATCGTCCAAGCTTCTTGATAAGACATGCATGGTTGACCCTATCAAAAGCTTTTGAGAAGTCCAGGTAAATGACGTCAACCTTCCCCTTGCGATCAAGGATGGTTGTCCATCTATCCACCGCAGTCAGCAGGTTGGTCGTACAAGAATGAACTTTTCTGAAACCATGCTGTTGAGGCGAGAAGAACTTTGAGGATGATAAGTGTTCTAGTATGCCGTCGAATACTAGGGATTCCATAATTTTTGAAGGTATGGAGAGAAGGGCCACTGGTCGGTAGCTTGATGGTTCACTGCGTCGACCTCCTTTGAAAATTGGTGTGATGTGGGCCAGCTTCCATATTACCGGTAGTTTGCCTCTGCTTAGCGAGTGTGCAAACATCACGCTAAGTGGTGTCGCCAGGATTGAAGCTGCTTCCCTCAGTACGGCGGAATGAACCATGTCCAGACCAGGAGAAGTGTCTTTTTTTAGGTTCTGCAGTTTACGGAGCACCAAGTCAGCACTCAGGTTCACTTCGGAAAGTCCTGTACAGGTGCAGGTGAAGCTTTCGTCAGTATGGTTAATGTGGGTCAGTTGGAATGTCCGGGAGTAATGTTCAGCCAAAAGGTTAGCGGCATCACTGTCGTTGTTGGTCGGGCCATTAGGACCAAGCAGTTGGGAAACTCCAGTTCTGCCTTGTCGAAGAGAAGCTGCATAACT